ATAAACGATTTTTTTTCTTGACTTTGTACAAATTGTCGTGAGAAACAACAATATTTTTCCAATTTGTAAAAAGGCGTTGGGTCAACCGTGCCCCCAGAGCAGGCAGCTGATTAACTTAACTTCGCATATTTTGCCATTTTTGTATTAAATTTTGTGCACAGATTGAAAAAAGTTGATGAAAAAGTAATTGAAACTATTTGAGAGGCAGCAAGTGTGTTTATAGAAAACAAGCCCGCTTCCCTGCCCACGTGACTATTTGGCCAAAAACATAATGCAAGATTATCCATTTCCCGAACCCGAAAATATATATTGACATCACCAGGACAATTATCATACGAATTGCCATTGATAGCCTCTTTTCAATTATTTGAGGTTTCTTGGAGCTGGAAGTGCGACGATTTCGCTTATTTACGTATCCCCTGAGTGGGAAATGCGCCTCGTCGCTGCTCCACTGCTTGTTGGTTAGGCACCTAATTTTTAATGCGTTTAAACTTAAACAAAACATGTTTGGTTTGAAAGTTAAGTCTGCACTTTTAGAACCTTGTAATGGAAAACCTTTTCTTTCCAAGAGGTGCGATTTGTTTGGCGCTTGGAACATAGACAGACCTTTTCTTAGAAAAAATGAACAGTAATAAAAAATCCTTCAATTTCAATTGCATTGCATGCAAACGAAGTCGTCTTTACAATAAATAACAATAAAAACAGAATTGCCTCAAAATGTTTTCATTGAAATTCTCTCGACAAACCCGGAAACATTTCAGCTATGAAAAATTAATTCTGGAATTCATCTTATCCTGCTTCCCCAAGGTAATTGATTAATGATCATCAGAAGAACTGAGACAAATAGCTTTTAGTAAAAATAGAAAATTGTTTTCATTAGCAGCTGGTACAACGAACCGAACTTTTAATAGATAAAATCAACTTTATTTAAAACTTTTTAAGATGAAAAAAATGTTTTTTTTTTACCATATATTTCTATTTTTGATTAAATATATTATAATTTAGTTCCTGCTAATACATACAAACGTGTCATCGTACATACTGATGTACATACATCAAGGTGTGGCAATTAAGTAATGATACTGATTATATTGCTGCGATTGTGGCAACCCTGCTACCTTAAAATTCCCTTTTCCTTCTCTCCCCCGCTGTGTCGTGTAGAGTAAACGTGTGTTTGTGGTGCTCGTCATGAAAATGAAAAAAAAACGAAATCAAGAGTAACGCGTCACGATAAGATTTTGTGCCAAATTGGGCGAAACAGCTTAAGCTAAAATTTTTTTTTTTTTTTGTTTTTTCAAAAAGACCCGATAACAAAACGCCAAAAGTCACAATGGTTGCCTTCGCTCCCGCATGAAAAAAACTCGCATGAGCAAGTCAAAGGTGAAAACGATGGTTATTGCTTTTTTGGGTAGCCGTGGAATCGCCCACTATCGCCAAGTACTCGAGAGATTGCGAAAACGAGTCAACAGGGTGCCCCCAGACATTGCTCGTGACTGGATCCTTCATCACGACCACGCGCTGGGTCACACTGCCCTCAGCGTGATCCAATATTTGGCGTATAAAAGGATAGCCGTGCTGCAACAACCGTCATATTCGTTCCCTAGAACAAAATCGGTGGCAAAAGGAAACCATTTTGAATCGATTGAGGATATCCAGGGAGGCGCGACGAGGGTACTCGCTGGGATCTCCGTCGAAGCTTTCCAGAAAACGCACCGGAATCTTTGTGTAGCTGCCCAAGGGGACTACATTGAGGGGGATGGCAGAGTTGTGGAATATTTTTGAAATATACGGTTTTTATGGAATTAGTCTACTTACTTCATTGTCACACCTCGTAGTATAAAAGGTTGATTTTTTAAGATCTATAGGAAAGTTTTTCAAAAAAACTTTCTCGAAAATCCAGAAAAATACATGAAATCTTCATTTGAGTCGATAGTACGGTCCATGTAATTTAATGTTTGGAAATTATTTCATGCAAATGTTGACCGTGACTGTGCCTCAAATGGCTCAATCCAACTTTGGCCTACTCTTTCCAACATTTCGGCCGGTATCTCACCAAATAATTGCTTCAATGCGTCAGTTGAAACGGTCTTGTCTGTATAGATATTAGATTTAACATAGTCTCACAAAAAATAGTCTAAAGGCGTTAAATCGCATGATCTAGGCGGCTAATTGACCGGTCCCTAGCGTGAGATATGTTAATTGACTCGCCTCTCAATAAGTTAATTGTCAAGTCAAGCTCTTCCATTTCGAGTAAAAAAAACGTTTGATATCATCTCACGGTAGCGATCACAGTTACGTTACGATTCGCATTATCCTTGAAGAAGTTTGGTCCAATGATGCCACCAGCTATTGAACCGCACCAAATTGTAGCTTTTTCTTGATGCATTGGTAGCTCTTGCAAGGCATCTGGCCGATCTTCACTCCAAAATCGACAGTTCGGCTTATTTACGCACCCCGCCAAGGGCGGGATGAACTTTCTTAAAAGAGCACGCTTTATGACCTGCAAGCGTTGTTCGTTTGTAAGACGATTCGTGGTTAAATTATAGACCAAACTGAAGATGTTTGACAGTAATACAAAACGCGAAGCGCGCATCAGCTGTTTAAACCAGTGCTGCCAAAAAGATAATAGTTAAAAAAGCACCCTTTACATACTTTCCCAGACAATCGTACAGTTTGACCAACGGTCACAAGTGCAGGTACAAATAACCGGAAATTACTAAATTAACTGTGTTTCCTGCAGAATTAAGTGGACTTCCGCTCAGTGCACACATTCAAACATGTGTATATACTTACGAGTACATACATACTCGTACTTGAGGAACAACAACAAAATGAGACTCATGATTATTGAAGCAGTCAAATGTCGAGGCTCTTACCCAACTCGATGAACAATTCTCTTGGAACTCACGGCCCAACAAGCAGTTACAATAAAAACACACGTACATATGTACATATACACATGTCATATCCTATTAATAGCTATCGAATGAGCTGAGTGAAAAGGCCTGCGGCTGAAGTGAGCAGAATATTGTCGTCTCGCGTTTTTTGAAACATGCAGATTTGTGGACGTATATGTGTGAACTGATGTGTTTGTATAGGTGCTTGTGTGTTTTGTTCCATTCCATCCTTTGTCTTCTTCGAAAAAGTTTTGAAGCTTTTAAGGACAGGACAGCAGGAAACAGCAGATAATAAACAGCCAATTACTATGTAAAGCAGTGTGTGTCTGTGTGTTTATGTATAAGTCTCTTAGTAGTGCTTGTTGTCGATGTGAAATGACGTGACTTTTTGTTGTCATTATTATTCATTTACCTGTGAACGAGTCTGGAAGTAAGCGCAGACATTCTGCAATTCTCTCTCACACAAATATACCTTTTCATTTGCTCATCTAGTTAAAAATCACTGAACACAAGAGAAAGAGAGATTTCGTATTGAGTTCAAAACTAGAACTGAAATACATCCATGGCTCGGGCTCGGGCTCGGGCTCGGAGCATATTAATTATCTGTGTTTAAATAGTAAAAAAAAGGTCTTAAATGCATGAAGATTTGAAAAATTAAATATTTCCGAACATCAAATAGTCAAAATACTATTAATTCTCAATAAATTTTGTATTACATTTTTGTCATGATATGCATGTACTCGTACAATATGTGTTTTGTATTTTTCATAAATAATTTAAATTGAAAATGTTTCCTTCTGAAAGCAAATTACACTCTTTGGCTGAAGAAAACTTATCTAAATTAAGAAATTTTTTTGAAGGGAGCTTCCACCAGCTCAATTTTTTATAACGGACTACATACGATATTTACGATCTTATAATTACATTGAAGTTATGAGTGGATTATTTTACTAAAATTATTTCCTTAATCAGTTACCAAGCAAACTAATTACACAACTCTCCCTAATGCTGTGACTGTGACTCTCTTCATTTCCTTTTTACGGTAAACAAACAAAGAAGCTACTTATGTCCGTTATGCTTTTTATAGGCAGCCATTCAAGGTTTGGTATTTTAATTCTAAGTATTCTATATCGGAACTGTTGTGCAGTTGGGTATTCAGAGAGAGATAGAGTGTGGAAACATGTCCGTATTCTCTTCTAGCCTCTGCGGCATATATTCTTATAGGGCAGACGCATTTCTAGCGCATTTCTCTAACGGTCAATGCTTTGTTATAGTAGCTAACTTTTCACGGACCTATTCTACAATGAAATAAAGGCTCCTCATAAAAACCATCAGCCATTCGTGGACGGCTTAGTAAAAACTCTAGGTTCCTCCATTTGTTGGAAAACCATTAAGACGCAAAATTACAGACTGGGGGAGGAGATATGCCGAAAATCGCTTAGGCGGTGCCAAAGTGCAAATTTCCAATTATATTTGAAAAGCCACATTTACTTGAAATAGATAGATAAACATTCCAATAAAAGGAATTTCAACTACAAACAACTATAAATATTATTATTTATTAAGTAAACTACGAGGCCTTGTTGTTTGTATGAATTAAATATTTGTTATACAACAAAGAAAAATGGTAGAAGTGGCAGCTGTTTTGGAGATCACCACATCTCCTCATCAGACTTCTTATGGCAGGGGTCGAACCAACGGATCCTGACTTAACAGGTGAGTGTTCTGCCACTGCGCCAACATCAGCCATATAATCTGTTGTTGTATTATTCAATTCATTATTAACCAACAACTATTAAGTGCGCAAATATTCATTTCATACAAACAACAAGGTTTCGTAGTTTACTTAAAGAATATTAATATATAGCATGGCCGCAAAAACAAATTATAAACTATAAATATGATTTATTCAAAAAATCGAAGAATAAACACATTGTTTTGAATAGTCCCTGGTCCACTTCTCGCATAAACTTTTTCGACCAACCGTCTGAAATATGCACTGCTGTGGGTAGTTCTTTGGTATTGTTTTATAAATACTTATCTTTAATGAAATAAAATAGCTTCCAACTAACTATTTTCGTAATCTCTTTCCTTTGATTTTAGGCTTTGCCATTGATGTCATTGTGATGACGCAATGGATTGCAGCCTTAAGTGGGCGCTTTTCATTACAAAACCGACAACATTCGTACCCACATTGGAGGCTGCAAATAAAAGCGCAGCAAAAATCAAAAAGATCGAAACGGCAACAGCAACAGTGGCTTCTTCGGCTGCAATTGCAATTGAGAAAACACCAACGCAAACACCAAAATCAGCACCAACCACTCAAATACGAGAAAGGCCCAGAATTGGCACCAACAAAGGGGAATCCCATTGCCCTTGGCACCTTTCGGATATATCGAGCATAAATAAATTTGAGGCCGCCAAAGGCAAAGCCATAACTCGTCGGACGAAATTCGCAGGTAGAGTCGCAAGCGTCACGGTGTGGGGAAGGCGTCGCTGCCACGAATGCGCCAACCCAGTCGGTATAAGCTTGCTGCAAAGGGACAGGCGTATTTAACGTAACCTCTCTGTTGCCAACAGCGACGGCCAAACGCTGTCGAAAGCAAGGAGAGGTGAAATAGAAAGTAAGAAATAACAATAACCGAAAACGGGTACAACGACAACTGCTGTTTTAGAAGAAAAATAATTTACGTGAAAAAGGAGTAAAACGAAAACCAAAGAAAATGAAACACTGTGAGTAGAAATAAGCGTTGCGTTCATCGAAATCATTTGGTGAACATCAATTGATTAATAGTTTTATTTAAATATTTTTTGTTTAATCAATTAATTAACTCAACAAATGGAAGTTTTTTAATTATATAGATCAATGTATCATTTTTATTTTAACTTCCAGATATTGCCACTTGAAAAATATTTCGAATGTGGTTTTTTATAAAGAAATGCAAAGCCACAGTTTTTTGTGAGTAAATTTTTTTTTCTTTATTTTTTTGTTTAAATTTGTTGTTGATGGTTTTGCCCAAGGCAAATTCATACACAGTAGTCGCAAAAATTCAAAAACAAAAAGCCTATATATTTTGTTTGTGTTATAATAGTTTCGAAAAGTCAAAAACGAAAATCGTTCAATGTATTTTGCTTGTTTAATTTGTTGTAATGGATGTAAGAACAAGCAATCATATCAACTGATTCAATGGAAACTTCATCTTCTATAGTTTCGCCTTTTGACCAGCTTATTTTTTAATTTTTGAAACCTGAAAATTTATTAAAAAAAAAGAAATTTAGTAGTAAAAGTTAAAAAATCTTTTTGTCAGTTGGTGATTTTTTCAAAGTATTTCTGAGCGAAACTTCATTGTTTATTCTATCATAGAAATAGCTTAGGAGCCTGCTGCACGCTAGCATACGTCACCAACAAGGGTAGGAACGATGACGCGACTATGATAACAGCCAACAAAAACAAATATTGAGCTTTATAAGGTTTGTTTAATGAGACTGAGAATAGAGTAGAGCAGCTCAAGTTCGAGCACAACAGAACAGCTGCAGCGTGAGTTAGAGCAACTCAAAGGAAAAATCTCATGAAATATTTTTAGGGCAACAATTTTCAAATGCGAATGTTTGTCTCTCCTGTTGTAAACAAAATAGAAAATTTTTACAATTTTTTCATACATTTCTTAATAAAATTTATTATTTTTATCGTCAACAACACAATTTTTTTAACAAGAGCAACCTGGCGTAACCTAGAGCAGCTCAAAAAAGAAACTTTCTCCTTTGTACGCTTCATAGAAAGCTTTATTTCGCTTTGACTAAATAAAACCGAAACTTTTGGCTAATCAGTCAAATAACTTAATGAAACTTTTGTGAACTAAAATCAAATATTTAAATTTTTTAAAACAAACTGATTACGCATTAATTCGTTGTCATTTAAAGTTTTTTATTTAAATTAATGCGACAAAAGTTACAAAATAAAATACTTTTTCATTATTTAGTAAAAATTATTTCAAAATGGATTTGAAAAAAAAAACTTTTATAATTATGACCGAAAGTTAAAAACCTGAGCTCAATACTCGAAAAGTCAATTTGGTTACCTAAAAAATATTATTAATTTCTTGCATGCACCTCCATGCCCCTTTCTTCTTTTGTAATTGCAAATATTTCAATTCGTATTTACTGAGATCTGGAGTATATTTAAACAAAGCCTCTCATTCGCCATTGCAGCAAATATTTTTATACACAAAGACATGATGGAGTTCGGCTAAGGACATTTTGAGATACCAAAGGTCAAAATCCAAAGCCAAACAAAAACCTAAAATTAGATAAGAGAAACAGAAATTAAATAAAGCAAAGCATCACCAATCTAAACTATACTACTATCTCGGACGAACTCAATTTAATCTCTGCCAGGAATTGATTCGTCGCTTCACCGCATCTCGTCTTGACTTAATTCAAACCAACCAAATCAATTTGACTTTAATTGGGGAGCTGCAAGGCTGCGAGTGGATAACAACTAGCTGGCCTCAGCTGCTTCAGTTGTTGACGAGTTTAGTATTACCACCACCACCCAATACTAATTCCAGTTGTAGTCTCACCTAGGCAGCGACCACACACTTCAGCATTTTAGCATTTTGAAGACCAAAAAAAAGTCCATTCGCAGCAACTATTTGGGTGCGAATTGTGCCAATTTAGGCGAAATAATTCGTTTGTGCTGTGGCCATGGAGCCTCCTGGCGGCATACCGCCAGACCGAGACAGACAACTAGTGCTGCGCCCCCAGCTGTCGCAGTCGCAGCAACATCAACAACTGGTACCATTAGTGTCACAAGTTAAGCCAAAATTAGCACTGAACCTATATGAAAAGGAGCAACCTTCGACCTCAAACATCGCCATATCGCCGGCTATCCCAGAAGCCACCTCAGCGGAGAATGCTGCTCCCACTTCGTCCTCAGTAGCGTCGATAAATACCACAAATGCACTCGTCCTTGTGTCCACGGGGAAGGTTGTTAGTGTTATCGCTGCAGGGACCGGCAGTAGTAACACCACCACCAGCACTAGCCCCGCAATGGCAACGGCAGCAGTGGCGATATCGGGCACAACGCAAGCGGCCACTGCGTTCAGCGGCAGTGCAGTGGGTGTGCAGCTCACACCACACCATCACCATCCGACGCACCATCATCATCCGCCACATCCCAACCATCCGCCACACCACCAGTCACAGCCTTACAGCGCTGCGCACAATTCATCGTCGACCTCGTCTCTGTTAGGCGGTATCTCGAGTGGTGGCAGCAGTAGTTCCGTTGGTGGGCATCAACAGACCATTGAGAAGTTGGCCCGGCCGATGGCGTTCGATAAGGTGAGTAAAAGTTAGAAATTACTGGTTTTAGTATTAATATAATAGTTTTAATTAATTATATTTCCTGCATATCAAAGGGTAGAGAAAACTGAAACCCAAAGCAGAGGCATAAAAAAAATATACATATATACAGTATAACTCAGGATCCCCTCATACTTTAAGAGTTCTTGTTTTTCTTGTAGAGACGACACGAACAGACTTGTATGACTCCATTCTTGTCCTTTGTATCCCCACCGCTGCCGCTGGATTTCTTCCTTGGGTGGTGAATGGGACAAACAAGCTCCAATTCCTCATTGCCCTCATCCTCGGCACTCATCAGTAGATCTATGGCATTTTCGATGAAGTTGATTGGCTGCGGTGATCCGGTCAAGCTGTATGGAGGCAACATAAAGGAACGTGGCACTAAAGCTGTACCACCACCCGCGCCTGAAATCAACTGTGGCGTAGCTGTAAGCGGGGCGGAGTTGCGCAAGTAGCTTAGCTGTTGCTCGAATGGATTGTATAGATAATCCATGACGGCGACATCTTCTGCACCTTCGACGACGGGTCCAATGCTAATAACGGATGTTGTAGGGCTACCACTGACTGAAAGTTGAGCGCCTTGAGCCTGTAGTGGTACGCCATCTATTGGGGGATTTGCAAACACAACAGAGTTTCAAGAAATTGTGAAGGTTTTACTGTAATCTAGCCCCTTCAGTAGCTTACCTTGTGCCACCTTGTATAGCATCATGTTAGCGAACTTCAGAAGGCTCTCCATCGGCAACATTTTTCCATTCGAATGGTTAACTGCTGAGAGTTGTGGTTGTGTTTGTTGTTGCTGTTGTTGATGCGGTGCAATAAGCGATGCCGATGTTAGTTGTTGTTGTAGATGCTTTTGTCCCACATCCACCGACTTCTCGCTATCATGTTTCTCTCTCAGTGGCTGTAATTGTTGTTGTTGCCGGTGCCCAATGCCGTCGGTGGTCTTAAGCGAATGTGATAATAACGTCGGAAGTGAATTTTTTATTGCAGTCTGTTGTAGCGAATGTTGATTGTGTAGTTGGTGTTGTTGTTGCTGTTGTTGCTGCTGTTGTTGATTGTTTGCGGAATGCTTTTCGACGCCGATAAGCGAATCATTATTATTATTGCTATTATGGCTGTTGTTGGTGGTGTTGTCAAAGCCATTGTATTTCGAGTTGTCTCTGACTTCCCCAGCCATCTCGCCCAACACATGCCCATTGTTACGCCGGTGACTCAACTCATCTTTGTTCTCGCCTCCATTATGGTCGTGGCTGCGATTGGTGCTTCCGTCTTTGTGTACAATTCCCTCACTAATACCGTTATCTTCGTTTTGCTTGCCGGTCATAATATGCGCATTGTGATTGCCGTAATTGTTGTTGTTGGAGTGGTATGACTTGACATTTGGCGAATTCAGATTATTCAACTCCTCACCAAACTCGGCCAAGCGCTTGTAACCACCGGCGAGGCTATGCTGCTTCGGCTGGTGCAAGGCGTAAGAGTGCACATTATGTGTGGCGTCAATCGTTGGCTGGTAGGAATCGTCAATGATCAGTAGCTCCGAAGGTCCCTCTCCGCCACCGAAGCCTGTCTCGAGCTGCATATCGTCCAGCAGGCGAGCGCCTAGACCACGCTTGTTGAGCAGATGCGCCAACGTGCTCTTGTGTCGGTCACTGTGAGTTGTTGGAGTAGCCGGCGATTCTAGCGTGGAAATGTGTCTTTTGGCCTTCTCGGCAACTACCGCCTTATGGCTAAAGGATGCAAAGGCTGAAACGTTTTAAATAAGCAATTTTACTACCAATTAGCCGTAAACTTTTCCCAAGAGCTTTTCTCACCTTTATCGATAGCGTGTTCAACGGCAGCAACCGCCTTCTTCGCCCATGTGTGGTGCTCCTTATGCTCCTTCTCCTCTTCTTCATGCCGTTGTGGAGCGCTAGAGGTAATCTCAGCGATTTTCATGCCTTCCGAGTTGTTGCTGTGCCTGCTCAGCTCTGCCAGCGCGCCACCACCGCCGAGCTGTGTCTTATTCTGCGTTCCCAAGGAGCCGCGTTTAATGCGACGCAGCGCCTGAGTTTGCTGAAAGGTAACTGCGACCAGGGTCAGACCTACAAATCTTAAGAGGTTGCAACAAAATTTCCAACCCAAGATACTCACTAATGCAGATGCTGAAGATAAAGAGGAGGCTGGTGCCGCGCATCTTTCGTTGTATGTACATCGCGAAGTTTGTTATTTGTATGTTTGTTACGTGGTTTGCTTTAAGATTTTTAGCAAAAATTATTTATAGAGAAATATGCCTTTCTGGCTTGAAAAATATATGTGTAATTCCCGTGAGTGACGCAGAATTCAAGACCGACCTTTTTCTTTTTGTTTTTTAAAGCGTAGAATAGAAGACATTTTTCAAATGGAAAAGCAAGTGTTTCGAGCGGAGAGTTGGCTGGAGTGTTGGCTGGAGTGCACATGTTTCCAGATATCGTTGCTTTCAGTGAGCTCTGGGCAATGCTGCTGCGCTTGGCGAGTTGGTTTGAGTGATCGGTCAGCATAACGGGTGCACTAAGAGTAAGATGGATACGCTTCAACGAAGGTTCCAGACCACGTCGATTAGAAATTTTCATTCGCAAGTAATAGCACAGACATCCAGTTCGAAGGCAAGGCAGTTGAAGTTGGGATAAACGCAGAGCTCTTATGTTAAATTTTTACGCTTAAGCTTAACATCCACAGCCAGAGTTATGGGCGTTCTTCTCCCACTTCTTTAAATAATTCTCAAAATAATTAGCTTTGGTTAACACCACTGAAGCTCATCAACGTAAACTAATTTTGAGTTTATTATTGTTCAGCCAATTGGGAGTTATCTAGCAAACTATGTTTTGTGGGAACGTATGACTATTTGCCGATAAAAAGCCCATTTGACCCATCAATTTTAATATAATTCACTTGCATCTCCTTCGTCTGCACCGTTATCGCAGTATTCATACATACACAAGTCGTTTAGAAGTATGTATGTGTCGGTGGGTGTGCGTGTGTCTATGTGTGCTTCAAGGATATCGCTTAGGTACTTTCGAGTACCGTTCATTCACTCTTACTCAAGCAAGCTCTGACCTTGTCCTCCTCTGCACTGCTCTTGTCCGCTCGGCGAGCGGCGCATTTTATTTGAACAAACTGCAATTCGCTGCTGACATTGACGTTGGCGCTGACAGCTGATTGAAAAATTTTAGTTGAGCCTTCAAAACCCGCAACACAACACAAACAACCACAACAGCGTGATAAACCAATTTCAACTAAACAAAACTATTTCAACAGCAGCCGCCAGCTGAGAGGCAGCCATTAAAGGGCGGCTTGCACATTCGGTTCTGCCTGCGGCCTAAGTATGCACCCTTGAAACTTAATTAATTTGATTTTGAACTCAGTTATGCGAGCTGCAAGAAAAAAGTTCCCAATGAATATGACATACAAGGAGATGTGTATGTGTGTGTGTTTGAGCTGATTGCTTATAGTCCATTATTTTTCTTATACCCGCATCACGCCCCTCGCTAAATGAAAGTGCAATCAGTGCATATGTGGACGCCTGTGTGTATTTATTTGGCGTTAGCGAAAGCTTTAAGATACCCTTTGTGCCCTTCGTGCATCATGTTTACTGATTTCAAGGCCTAAACCGAACTTTTAATCCTCCTGAGCATCGGCAATGGGACCGAGGAATTCCAGGAAAAAGTTTTTCAGTCGGACGCAAAAGTTTGCAGAAACGATGCTCCTCCGAAACGGCTTGACCGATTTTAATGAAACTTTATGTCCATATTCAGTAGGTCTGAGAATGGTACAACATCTATGGGTAGTTCATCCCTAATTTTTATTATATTTTTTATTTCTCGCCGATTTCTGGCCGACCACTCGGCTAAAGCGGCACAAATATGAGTTCATACATGACAGTTAAATTCTTGTTCTTCCCCACTTACAGATGGAAACGCTGATGCGCACTATGCAGAACGATGAGAAGCCCGTACCGGTGCGCGTGCAGAAGTCCATATTTAGCAACATACCATCAGTATTTATGGGTAAGTGTACCATTAAGGAAGCTCACATTCTTACGCTTACGATAAAATTTTCTCAAAGGTTATGATCTTATCGAATGGATGATGGACCGTTTGGCCATCGAAGAATCTGAGGCGCTGAGCATTGCCAATCAACTTTGCCTGCACGGCTACTTCTTTCCCGTCAATGAGACCAAAACGCTCGCTGTGAAAGATGATTCCTCGTTGTACCGCTTCCAGACACCCTACTATTGGCCCTGGCAGCACAAGGCCCCCGACAACGTTGAGTACGCAATTTATTTGGCCAAACGCTCGCTGCGAAATAAACAGCGGCACGCTTTGGAGGATTACGAAACTGAGGCATTGGCGTCACTGCACAAGAGCCTCAAAGGTAAGTGGGATTTTATTTCGATGCAGGCAGAAGAGCAGGTGCGTCTGGCGAAGGAGCGGAAGAGGGATGATAAAATTGTCGTTGACTCACAGGTAGGCATATGCAATTAATTCACACCAACTTACATACTTACACACACACATTTGTATAAATGAATCATATGGAAATAGGAGCGGGCCTACTGGCGTGTACACCGTCCACCACCCGGCCAATTTACACCATTGGAACCATGCCCCATTCCGTCGCGTGATCGGCAAGGTTTTAAGCCGAACAAGAAGAAGACCGTGGAGGATGTGCAACGTGAGGTCGACTATTTGCGCAAATCGCTCAATCGCACACGCATGAAAATGTCACAAGCGTGTGAGTCACTGGTTGCCTATTCCGAGACATTCGCGGAGTACGACTTCTTCCTACAACCAGTACTGCCGTCGAACCCATGGGTTACGGAGGACATTACATTTTGGCAACTGAATAACAGATTCGTAGATACGCCAACCGAGAAGCGAGTCAAACGTTGGGCAATTTCCATCGAAGAACTAGTATCCGATCCAACCGGTCTGCAAGAGTTTACCAGCTTCTTGGAGAAAGAGTACTCACATGAAAACATACGTTTCTGGATAGCTGTGAATCGATTGCGGCGCTCAGCGCACTCTCAAGTGCCACGCAAGGTGAAGGAGATTTACGAGTGAGTTTTTGGCTGAGCTCTTGATCGTGTTTTATTCTTATAAGCATTCCAATTTATTACCTTACTTTTGAACAGAGAATTTCTGAAACCAGGCGCACCATGCGAGATCAACATTGACGGCAAAACTATGGAGAGTGTACTGAAGGGTCTCAAGAATCCATCTCGTTTCACATTCGATTCCGCTTCAGAACACATCTATACGTTGCTACTAAAGAAGGACTGCTATCCACGTTTCATTCGTTCCGAGCATTACAAACGTCTGCTCGAAGCAGGTGTGCCACCCTCGCACAAGAAACGTTTCTTCAATTTCGGCGGCGTCGGAGGCGCAAGGAAAAAGATGACGGCGGCTCTATCTAGTCAACCGAATCTAGGCGACGGCACTGGCACGAAAAATATCGGCGGTGCAATGCAAGCACCACCACCTGGAAGTCTGGCACGTCGGCGGGGCAGCGATCGTAGCCTCACCGGCTCCGCACACGAACTGGCTGTGATTGGTGTGAATAAGGATATAACCTCAAAGGTTCCGCACTCGCATTCGCAAAGCAACCTCAGCGAGATACCGTACAGGTGAGTTGGTTCTACACACACACACACACTAGTATTTTGGTTGGTCCGTCCACGGACAGTTAGCTGTGCTATAAAAAAGTATATAAATTTATAGTTGTTGCTTTTTTCGCAAATGCTAAGTAAATAATTTTATATAATTTCCAAATAAATAAAAATGGTAAAAACTTTTCTGCTAGATTGTGTAATTAAAATTATTCGCTAAAAAGTAAATAAATAAAAATTTAATATTTTTAATGCTTCTTAAACAAAAAAAAAAAAAAAAAAAAAATTAAAAATTCCATTTAATTGGTTCAACATTTAAATTCAAGTTTTCAATCTGATTTTCTTTCTCGCATATTTTCATTAAAAACTTTTTGTTTAAAAAACAATCAAATCAATCGTCATTTAATGTAAAAAAAAATGAAATTTAAAATTAAAAATTAAAAAAATAAAAATTTATTTAAATTAAATATAACGAATAAACCAATAACAAAAACTTTGCAAATAATACAATAAAATTCCATTCCATGAACAAATTTTTGATTTATGCACATCGCGTAGTAGTGAATCGATTTACAGAGGAGATATGCCGCAGCTCCAGGTCAAGGAGGCCACAATTCAAGTCGCACCAATCGGAGCACGCCCACTCTCGTAAGACGTTTGTTTGCTCTCTAACCCAACCAGCATCTCTGAAAAACTCTCAACTATCTATCCACTGCTTCAAAGAAAATATCTGATGTTGCTACAACTACAACTTTACTACCAACTACAGTTGTTGTCAAATTTGGCGTGTTGTATGAACCATTAGGGTGTGCCTTATTCATCAAGTTGGGTTTTCGGATTGCATAGATACCGTTATTTTTGTTATATGGAACAAAATTAATGTTGCCAGAGATGATTTTCACTAAATAAATTTGTATTGTAAACAAATATTCTTTATTCATTTAAAAAAATACATCCAATATGCTTCAGCTCATAGCTTAATTAAATTTAAAATTATAGAAATATGTGAAATATTGATAGAGACATACTTGTACAGCATTTTATTGAAATGTCAAAAATATTTTCTTACATTCTCCAAAAATGAGCTTCTTCTTTGAACCAGTGGCACCGCGTTATGCACACCAAGCGAGCGAAATTTGAGAAAACCAACTTGATGAATAGCACTCATCTGAGAGAGGTCCATTCCTTCGCCACTCACCACCTTCATTTGGCACATTACTTTGTACTAACCAATTTTTATCGTTTTTGTTCATCGTTTTGCTATCTGTACAACTTATGCCTCCACCCATAACTCAGTTCTAAGCTTCCTCAGTGTTGTATTTTATTTTAATTACAAGTATATATATTTTTATGCGCATTTAACGACTACCCTTAAGGGTTTCTCATACAACTTTCTCAATTTTTTGTGATTTTTTCGTTTATTTTGTTATTGTTCATCTGTGAAATTTTTCATTGAACTCTTTTGGTGTTTCGAAACTTTTTGTAATTTTGTTGCAATGCTAAATTTTTACGTAATTCTCCAGATGTTGTATATACATATGTATGTGTGTCTTCTTGTTGGTATGCGATGATGAAAACAGTGAACCTTTCAATCAACTACTAAATGTTTGCAACATCTCTGAAGTCGCTTTGCTAAATACCCACCCTCATATTTCACAGAGAGACGTCCAAGCCTAAAGCTGCTCGACTGGAGACCACAGTTGAATCGTCCAGTAGTGCAGTGTGCCCTTGGGATATACCCGATGAGCCGCCAGAGACACAAGCTCCTTCGCCGCATCAAAAATCGCAGGTGAAATTATCCATATGTCCTTGGGAACAGGAAAGTGAACCTACACCCTTGGCTGTTAGTGTTATAAAACCGGGCACACATCGGCTCACTAGGTAAGTAGTTCAAGGAAAAATGTTGCCACACAATAGAATGTTTTTACTCTCTTAATCTAGCACATCTTCGGATATAACCGACGTCTCTGAACGTAGTCAACGAAATTTGGGAATACGCCATCAGAATACCGTAGATAGTGGCGAGGCGAGTAAGCGGCTTGTGCCGAACTTTGGCGAACAGCGTCGCGCTTCTATGTCCTTCACACAATCGTATGTTCCCTTCAGTCTTTTTCAATTTTTCGTTCTTTTCACAGTTTGTTTTTCGACAGTCGTCTAACGGAATACCAGTTTGGACAGACCTCAGTCTCAGCGAAGACCTCTTCTAGTCCATCGCCCACTGTGGGCAGCCAAAGTGTCGTAGATACCACATTACCAGCTCCTTCTCCGCCACCGCTCTTCAGCCAGAGTATTGTCACGATAGCCGCAGTGACTGGGGTTAGTAGCTCTTCCGGCATTATCTTAAAGGATCCACCCTCCATGTCCGAAGCCGAGATCGAAGAGGAGCTCCATAAGTTGGCTATATCCCAACGTAATAGTGAGTCCTCTGCTTCGGATATGTCTGCACTACTACCACCGACTCCGACACCACCACCCATTACGAAAGTCACGCCACCACCGCCTGAAGACAATGTCAGCCTCTATAATCCGCCGATGGAGGTTGTGTCATGCGAGAGCTCTCAAAGTGATCTGGTGTGCGGCGCTGAGCGAAGTGGGGGTAGTGGCAACAGTGATAACGGTAGTATTATTATATCCGAGACTGAAGTGGAGGTGCCCGTGCAAGAGGTGCAAATCGAGTTGATTGAATTGCAAGAGGAGAAAACTCGAAATCTTTCCACACCAACTATACAAGTTGAAGAGGACGATTCATCGGCAGGTTAGTTTAATACAGTAAATGTAAAATGCAGAAGAAGTTTAATTTCAATATTTAAAGATCATGCTGAAGTTGATATCGCAGAGCTCGAGCAGCAAGCAACACCCACGACGAGTCGTGGAAACTCCGCGCCAGAAACGCCCGAAAGAGAGGAACAGCAATTTTTGCCACCAAATAACAAGTTGGACCTACAGTTAAAAACACAATTGCACACTTCAAAATCTTTGAGCACAATATCCGTTGCCATCACAACAATACCGCCACCACCACCACCTATTGGACCGATGGAGGAGGAAGAACAACTGCGAGAGGAAGAAGAAATTGCAGCTGCGCAAGAAACACAAGAAGAACTCTCTCCCACCACGGATGAATACCAAGAAGGCCTGCAGTTCGATGCCGACAGCAAAGAGGACTACGAGTATGACATTATAGACACAGACACTCAAGCCGGCTACATACCGCCAGCGCCTACACCAGCGCCGTCTATGGCACCTCTTGCCGAAATGGATATTGATACCGTAGATGATGAGCCATGCGAGGAGGAGTTAGGTACAATGCTTCAATGCACTGATATTGCCACGACACCAACACCAACACCAACAGCAGCAGCAGAAACTGTGGTCAGTATGTATGAAACGGAGCCGGCAATCATTGAAAATGTCATTCCGGTCGTGACGGAAGAGGTGAAAAAGCGTCGTAAGAAACGCACTGCGGATGGCAAAAAGATACTCTCCATTGAAGAGAAAGAACAGAAGGCAAGCACATCGGCTAGCGGCAATGCTGAGGTCGTGAGCAGCACGATGACGGATGCCGATCGCAATGCGGTGTGCCCGTGGGAAGACGAGTAAGTGTTGGGAGTGCTGTTATACTACGGAATGCTTTCTATTTAAATGAGTCTAATTTTGCTTTGCAGAAACGTCACGACAGCTGACGGCACCTTCGTGAAAACGTACGCGACACTCGGGTACTTATGAATAAAGCAGAATCTTTTCAAAACTATGGTCAACAAAATATTAAAGAAGAAGAAAAATCAAAAGAAATGACATTTTTTGCATACCACGTACTCAACCATGCACATATACATTCATTAGAGTGAGGCCTCCAGAAAAAAACCTAATCCCACTCCTAATTAGTACTCATATTTGCATTCCCACCAATTATAGTCGCTCCCAAACTCATACTCACTCCCAACATAGACGCTCATCGTTATACCCACACTCATATCCACACTCATACCTACACTCATACCTACACTCCAATTCACTTTCCTAAGAATGTCCTATGAAGTCACTCCTATGAAATAATTAAAAATATTAATTACCTTTACACATATATGCGTAAGTACATACGTAAATAGAAACTATGAAGTGAGCAAAAAACCAAAAAAAAAAAAAAAAAGAAAAAATGATTTCATCGCTTAAATATTGTATTTATACTACTCGAAGTGAATTGTTTATTGCTGAAAAAATTTTCTTATATAAAATAGAGAGCAGAGTGCAGAAGGAAAATATAAAAAGAATTATATTATTATAAATATTTGCGAACTCTAACTGAACACTAATTACATAGAAACATAGAAATTTAGTGAAATATGTGATTTGAAGAACGAGAGATGAAAGAATTCCAGCAAAAGAGGTGAAAAAGAGGAAGTTTTAATACTTTCATGATATACATATAAATACTTATATACAGAAACTTCTCATTGCGGTACATGAATGTGTGTGGATCCATAGTTACCAAAAAGTTTTATCTTTCTTTTCCTTTCATAGAGAACAAGAGTTGAGAGCAAAAAAATAGTCCGAATTCATGAAAACGAGGAGCTCACATCAAGAATAGTAATTTATGCGAGATTCCTCAATTTTTCATTGGAAAAAGAAGGCGAAAAATAATTTAAAAATCATACTAATTTCATTTAAATATTTATAAAATGTTTGCTTTATAGGTTTTATACCCAAAAACTTTTTCTTGCGATTATTGTAAGCGGCTCTTTCAAAATAGAAGTTCCTAAAATGAACACATTTTTTTTTAATTTTTCTAAAAAAATTGTCATTCTATTATACCTTTTTATTAATTAAAAAAAATTATCACTTTAGAAGTATTTTTCATATAATTTTTGGATTTAAATATTTCTTATAAATACTCGTATATGAATGTGCTGAACTGCTGATCAAACTTCTGTATGCAATGCAGCCACTTTGAAAAATGAGAATAAAATGTACATAAATATTTTTGAATGAACTTTGCCATAAGAATGAAGAAACTTTTGTAAAGTGATCTTTTATGCGCCAATACAACTGTCGTCACACATGTGGAACATATACGTGTAGGTGAGCAGATAAAACGGTATGTACGCGAGTGTGGAACAACTCCAGGCTGCTACATCTCGTCATTCGTGCACACACAACTTTCGAGCCCCAAAATGTATGCAACGAAAACGAGATGGCAGTTGAAAATATATACGAAGAAGACTGGAGGAAAGTGCAAATAAAAAATCATTTTACGAGACCATAAATGAGTGAAGCCAGATGAAATGAAATACAATAAGATTAATAGATATAAAATAACAGGAAAATTATACCCACACTAACTGATATATGCGTACTTTAAATGCACTAACTAAGCAAATGTATTGTTGTTGGAAACTATGTATGTCTATTAAGCACTATAAACTCAGTAAATAGTTTAATAATAGTTGTTTATGCAAATTGCAGAAAAAATTATTACAAACAAACAAGAAATTGGCGTATTTGGTGTTGCATTAAAACAAATTATTCAAAATCTTACATACACGTACGTACACGTACATATATATTAATCCACGTGCAATTGGCGCTTACAGCCATTATTAACTTATTGGTGTATTTTAAAAATTGTTGCAAGCTGTTGCTAAAAAATCAAAAATTATTGGATATTCAAATTAATTGGAGCATAATAAAATGCGTTAAAAGCTTTCCACAAAATTAAAAAAAAAATTTAAAAATTAAATATGAACAAAAAAAAAATAAAAAATGTTTTAAAAATCCAAAAAAAAATTAAAATAAAATAAAAACTTAAAAAAAAATGCGTAAGATATGATATTTAATCAGCACAACTACATACCGTTATAAATGTTCCAATTAACCCAGTAATGGACTTAAAAATTATCTAACCACTTAAAATATAGTTCACTACATAATTAATAAGATTACTGCTAGCACTAAGCAATACGAGGTAAGCATGAGCACAAAAGTTCTGAAAATATTTATGTATGAAAAAGTTTATTAAGCAAAGTGGTGAAATTTCGTATGCGTCTTAAACATTTGTAAAAAATGATAATAACTTCTTTTGTAAGATTTGAGAATCAGCAATGCTCAAAAATGCCTCTTACAATTGATTTCAAATACTTGATTTCGCAATCTCATTAGGTAAATTCTAGTTTCCGTAAATGCTAGTTGCTAAGTTTATATTAGAACTTAGCTTGTTTTTAATTGAATGCGCGTGAGTTGCTCTATAATAAGTAAGGGAAAAATGTAGTTTTGTTTGTCCGAAATCCTTTTTTCTTTCTTTCTGCATTTGCTTTATTAAGTTGTCGCTCTTTTTCTTCCAAGCACACATTTATTTACTCCACTTAAAGGAACCTCAAACTCCGAAACTCACCTCAAACTCTAAAACTCACCTCAATCACTCACACACGCACACTTAACTCTAAGAAGAACTATTTACTCAGAAATTTTCAATCAAATAATGAGCTAAAAGAAATAAAGTAAACTTCTGGTTGTTGGATAGGACAATTCTCTCCCAAATAAAAACTCAATTGAGTATTTGAAAAAAGGCAAAAAACAACATTAAAAGAATATCTGTAATAATACAATAACTACTTCTTACACGTATAAAAAGTGTCGAAAAAATATATTGTATTTAAGAAAAAAAAATAAATAAAAATTAGAATTAATTAAGAAGCAAAAAACTTAAAAACAAAGTAAACATATTTCTAAAAAAAAAAAACATGAGACCACCGTAAACAAAAGCAAAGCGAGAGAGTGCGTAAAAACTATGGAGGAAAATGAAAAACATCAAGGCCGACGAAAGCAAGCATTGAACCAGCGCGTAGCAGAAATATTTCTAGTAATAATTAGGAAGTAAAAATAGAAGATAAAAATAAAAATAAAAATAAAAATAAAAAATAGCGAATGAAATAGTAAAATTTAGTTAAATTTAGAAGCTCGTCGAGTACTCAAAACCACACAAATGCCAAATTATACTTTTACATAAAGAGATAGATAAAGAACAAACGGAAAGTTATAAAACCACTGAAAAGGGAAATGGCAAGAGTAAAGCAAAATAACAGTAAATTTGCATCAATATAAATACTTTACTAAATTATAAGAGAATTTAATATTAACAATTTGCTGGCGCATTAATAAAGAAAAAATTGTTTGAATTATAAATGAATTGAAATTTGTTTTCCATACCAAAAAAGTAACGGTATAATTGGCACAGGTTAAACGATAAACCGAATGATATACAAACTCATATGTATAAGGAAATGCATGAGTGCCGATAGAAGCACAGAAATGTACAGCAAAATGGATACAAAAAAAATTAAAAAAATCAGCAAAAAGGGACTCGGCGAAAGTTGAAGCGTCGAATTGTAGTAGAACTTAAAATGAAATAATTATGTTTAGAATTTAGCTTAATATATATATATATATAAATTAAAAACTTAAAAAAAAACTAATAGTAGTTAACCAAAAAAAGAGAAAGAGAATACTACTAGTAATTGTTGTTATTGCGTATAATTAATGATTAGCCTTACAAACATGGTTATTAAAATATAATATTGAATTAAAAGTGTGGCTTAGCCCTTTATAGCAGTAAAATATAACAGTAATACCAACACAAACATACACAAAAACGAATGAAAAGGATCTAAACGGACACGAACCTGGTGAAAATAACTTAAGAAATTTTAATACAAAAAAAATTGAATAATTTGGCACAACAGTAAAGACAAAAATGGAAGCAGAATATAAAACGGTAATAGAGAAACAGAAACACAGACAAAACAAAATTTTACATCATTTTAATTTAGATTTACTAAAACTATGCTTCAGCGCACACACAAGCCAGCTATTGGACCAGAAAAGGCATAAAATTTAACAGAACAAAATCTAATAAAAAAAAACCTTGTCTATTTCTAAGTCCTATACGAAAAACAAAGAAAAATAATTTAATTAAAGCAGAATCAAAATGAAAAATTTACCTACACGACCAGCAAATAGTTAAAAGTCAATACGTGTCAGAAAACGCACTTACACACACACACGCACACCTCCGCATACGACCCTGTAAATGTGCAGTAGAAAATAGTTGAAAAAATTCGCAAAAATAGAACCTTACGTAAACGCTTCGGATGACACTGTCAGCTAGCTCATAGATACATATTTACACCACAAGCTACACACATGTATACATATAGAAACAGACAGAATGAAAAGCGGGAACATTCACCACAAAACCGAAATAGAGACAACTTGATCGAGTGAAGGCACAAATTACATAATTACAGATCTACATACAAAATGCTATGAATATAAAAACCAAGCGAGAAAAGTTTAGTGAACAATAGTAATTAATTTAAATAAATGTTGATTGATTGTAATAAGGCAAAAGCAAAAAAAAAAAAATACCTACATACATATATATAATTAAAAAGCCAGAAAAATTATGTGAATGAAATAAAAAAGAGAATTATTACAATTTATTATTATATTTATTATTAAACAAAATATTATGATAAATAAATATATATACATATTATATTGATTATATATACATACATACGTGCATAATGTGACAAAGCATAATGATTGAAAGAGAAATAAATAAATTGAAGTACAATAAAGAATTTCAAAAGAAAATCAACAAATTAAAGGCTTTCTTTTTGCTGAATGCGATTGTTGCTTTTTAGCGTAAGCTTTTCTTCGGTAGCTTTAATTACGTGCTTACTCTCTCTGCGTGCCTTTATTATTTGGCTAATCGGCAACCCTGGGATGTACAAATGCTTAGCGGGTTTTCGTGCCATTGGAGCTTTTATTGCTTTCGCAAAAGTTGCTTTACGATTGTTTCCTTTTGCTGAAAGAAATGTTCAAAGCTCTAATGAATAAGTTGCTGGTTTGAAAAAGCAGACTGTAAGCAAACAAACTTTGACTTAAAGCTTTAAGGATAAATGCTTTATGGGACTACAGGCATCGGTGCATGTATTTACTATTCCGTTAGCGAATTGAGCAAATTCTTTGCATTTCCATTATATTTTCTTAGCCACTTTCATTTACTCAAGTAAGTGGATTTGGTAATTTTCCAGAGCTTTGAAAGCTTTTATTTTGTAG